AGCCTCTGGCTCCACTAATTCAGAATTGTGGCTATTTAGATAAAGTCTCAGCTGAAGTTCAAGTTTGCATTATGTCTTATTGGCAACCACACCATAAAAATACCTCAGAAATGTCAGCATTTTTGTGTCCACATCTGGAAGGAATACAAAATCCTGGGTCAGACCCTGCATCTTGATTCTTAGTTAAGGAAATATGGTCATCTTACAGGCTTAGGCGAACTGATAATATAAAGTATTCATGTCAATTGTTCAGATTTGGTGTACGAGTTCTAGAGATTTTAAAGTAACTAAACTACATTTATTTACAAATACTGTCCATTTATTTATAATTACCATACAAATACTTTTGGACAAGGGAGTGGGAACTTTTTACCTTTTTTTGCCTTCATACTTGTAAGTGGTTAAAAAAATGTATACACTATATGGAGTCAGAGATTTAACATGTAATTTAAAATGTATGAAATAATTCAGACCTTTTCTAACAGTCGCTTTGCCTGTAAGTAAAGGCAGGCTTTATTTATTGTAATGCAAAAATGGGTAACCTAAGGTTTTTAGGACCTTATGTCTCCTACATTCACACATTTAAGACTTGTTTACTAGCTGTACAGATGTTTTACCTTTGAACTGAAGTGAAACAAAATTGGCCACGAGATTTTAAAGAAATAAATAACTTGTTCTGGTCTAATTAAAAGTATTACATGCTCATTGTAGAAAATTTGGGAAATACAGAATAATATAAAGAAGAAAATCAAAATTGAGTTACCTAGACATGCATTGTAAGATATATACATATGTCTATCTCTGAGTTGAGATATTGTACCTAATTTAATATCCTACTTCTTTAATTTTAATATTATATTGTGAGCACTTCCCCAAGTAACTAAAATTACTTGTATATATTTTTGCATAAAATTCTTTTCCATGCTACCTATATAACATTGCTTGAGTCAATTAAATAGCTATACCATTTTATTTATTCCCCTATTGTTGAGCATTTGTGTTGTTTCACATCTTTCTTTATTAAAAACAGTGCCATACTGAATATTATTTCAATAAGTCTACATTCAAATTTTTATCATTTCCTCGAGATAGAGACTTAAGGTCAATGGGTATATAAACATGTCCATATCCATTTTAAAAATCAGCTTTACTAACTAAATAGATATGTTTTATTGGCTCTGGGATTTCAGCAAAGGCATAAGTTGAATTCTGTTAACGAGAATAAGTTACTCTACTGCTAACGAGAAGAAAAGTGAACCACCTATTGAATACCATACTTTTGGGTTTCCTGGCCTCAGGAGGGACTTAGTTTAACCATGTTTGACTTGTTTTAATTGCCGGAATAACCACTCAAGGCAGGATACCATGAAAACCATTGTACAAAGTGGGGCTTATTTTTTTTTAAATGACATTTTAAAACCATAAGCTTTTTCTTGAAAATATTGAGAAAAAATATGAGATGACCTGGAAACATAAAGGCATATTCTGTCGTCTTGTTTCTTGATTTACATATTCTTTGAAGAAAAAAACCCCAGACATACAAGTGAAATACTTGCCAACTTACTTGTGGAGATGAATATAAACGTACATTACATACTAATTTCAGCGGCAGAGACCATGGAGCATCAGGTCTATAGACAATATGGCCGACTGGTTTGGCTGAACGGTATGTTTGGAATTGTTCTGTTGCTGAAAATATCTTTTCTTAATACAGTAACACTTCACTTATTGAGTGCTGTTAGGAAAAAGAGCTTTTTGTTAAAAGCAAATGTTCCAAATGTATCAAGTTTTTGCCTTTAAGTGCCAACTCATTTTGAAGGCTTCCTCAAATATAGCAATACTAATGTCCCTGCCTTTCTAACCAAACAATACAGAATATAAGGTAGCTTTTATTGATGATCCAAGGTCATTTTTTAAACCACAATTACTATTCAGTTAATCCTCAGAACCTGTGTGTCCCTACTCTAAATGTTACCAGATTATAGATTTTTTTCCATTGATACCAGGTTTTCTATTATTGCTTGTTATTGTAAACATGCTTGCTTTTACCAGTTTTCTCCCTCTCTCATCTGTTATTTTTAATCTCTTGGTGAAAGTTTATTAGAATTCTATTCTAAATAAAGCAGCCTCTATGAGTAACAGAGCAGCCCGAGTAGAGTTTTGGTGCACGGAATCTATGAAAATCTATTTTGGTTTCTCAAGGCTTTGGTGGCTTCCAGGTTTCTGACCATTTCAGACAGTGACACTGTTAATACACCACAAACCTAACAAATAACAATCACGGCTCGTACCGACTGATCATTTGCCATAGCCTTTGCGGGTTTTCTTGCTTTTACTCATTCCTCTCCACACATCAGCCACAGAGATCCTTTAAAAATGTAAATCAGATGTCATTTCTCTGTTTAAAATCTTCCAGTGGCTTCCTCACACTTAGAACAAATCCAGATCTTTTCCCACCGTGGCCTGCCTGGCCCGCCCTGGGCCGCCTCCGCTCACCCACCTCATTTCTTCCTTCTCTTTCTCTTGCTCACTCCGATTTCTTGCTGTTCCTCGAACAGGCAGTGCACTTTCATCTCGGGACTCAGGCACTTGCCATTTCCCTATCCTCGCACCCCTTCTCTGCTTGACTTTTTCCCTCATTTCATTCAGATCTCTTTTCAAATTTTTATTCCTCAGAGAGGACTTCCACGAGCATGTACTTCAAAACAGCATCCCTTGTCACTCTCCATTCCCTTAGCCTGTTTTATTTTCTTCAGAGAACTTCTAACGTCTGAAATTATCTTACACGTTTATTGTCCATCACCCCACTAAGAACGTAAACTCCAAGAGAGCAGCGGTTTTGTTTTTTCATGAATGCATCTCTGAGTATAGAAGAAGAATGCTTGCAGGAACTCAATAAATAATTTTTGAAAGAATGATATGTTTTTAATTCCCATGACAGTCCTAGGAGTAGACATTACTGAATGGCCATTTCATAGGTGGATCAAATCGAATCTTAGAGAAGTTAAATAAACTTGTCCAAAACCCAGAGTCACTAAGTACTGAAGGCAGGTGAGCTGGGATCCAGGGAGTGGGACATGCCTTGTGTTAGCTTTGACTGATGTTAGTATTTTAGATATAATGACTGAAGCCACTTGGATACACTAATTATACAAGTAGCAAACCTGATTCCAGAACAAGTTGCAGGGGAGAGAAAGATGTTAGTGTGAAAGTTCTTATGTTCCCAAAGGGGACACTCATGGCTGATGGTTAGGTTCTTGAGGCTACAGTGGAAATGCATCGTGCAGTTAAATGTGACCCAGTTATCCTCAACCTTGGGCCCAGAGGCTGCTGGGAGTGGGAACAGAAGCGCCAGTGTTAAAGCAAGTTTCCTGGCAGCGAACAGGGAGGCAGGGACTGAAGTCTGGGACTGTCACAGTGCCGTGGCTGGCAGGTCTGGGTCTCTGCAGCAAGGGGGGCTCTGTGAGGCAGCACTTGAGTGTACAAGGCAGTCATAAACTCACTGACTCTAAGCTGAATACTACCTGCCATTAGTGTGTTGTTTGCCAAGTATCTTTGCGAGCAAGAAAAACCAAACAGGGGAAACATGAAGAAAAACAATGGAGAGACACTATTAGATGTGCGACACACTAAGAGGGCCACCCAGCTCCTCCTTCAAGAATGGACTTGTGGCCCAGCTGTGGAGAGTGGGGTTAGTGGGCTGCCTCCAGCTGTCAGCCCCTTCAGTGGGCCTCAGGTGCAGAGAGCTGTCATGCTCGAGGCCATGCCCTTCCCAGAGCAGCCCACATCTGGGGACTGAGAGGTGTAGGTAAAAAAGTCTGACTGCTTTGGCCCAATCCAGGACATTCTGACAGATAATATGAGCTCCAGAGCTCTCCTCCAAGTTGGCCAAGGCTGTCAGGCCTGCATTATGGTTTTATTTCTTGTGCCCGTTCCTACTTATTTGCCAATGCCTTTCACAGGTGTGGATCCCTAATGAATATCTTGCTCTTCAAACCCCTTTCAACATCTGCTTCTGCAGAACCCAATCTGTGACGTTAGGTTCAGTCATTTGGCTAACAAAATGTCTTTATTGGTACACTGGAACTAAGAGGTGGGCTCTGGTTAGCCAGCAATGAGCAAAGCAGTCATGGGAGTTATCTCTTAGAGGGAGTGGCAGATGTTAAACAAAAGTGAAAAATTAAAAAAAAACAACATATATTGTACTAAGTGCTATTAGGGTCTGTGGGAAAAAAATAAAACCCCATAATATTGATAACTCTATTAGTTAGCAAATATGTAAAGTACTGTGTTTTTGTGTTAAAATTGTGACAACATGGGCACTTAGAATTTGCTATCAAAATAACAATATAACAAAATTGTTCGTACAAGAAAGTCTTGTTGACCTTGTTTATTTAATCCTTCCAAATCTGCAATCTAAGACAACCATTCAGTTACTCGTTAATGTGCTTATCGAATGAGCTCACTGGTCAAATGAAAGACTGCACGTAGACTTCTGGTATGAAGAAGGCAAGTACAGCCTCTACTGCGGATCCACTGTTTTCACTTGCCCAGCATCCACCATTCTTACAACAGCACCACAGTTTCCCAGGGTGAACTGCCTCCTCTCCCACTTTAGGTTCATGTGGTATACACGAGGGCGTGCCACCCACATTTGGGCAATCGGGAGCAGTATTTTTCCATCCTGGTTCAGGAAATGTGCACATAATCCCAGGCAGACCGATGACAGTGAGCTCCTGGACCTTACTGGAACTATGAGGCAAGAAGATTTCATTCTAGTGGGATCAGAAAGCTGGCAGAACAAAGTCTTGAGCTTCTGGTGGCCATCATTTTGTCTGAGAACAAGCTGACTGAACCCCTTAAAAACTGGCTTCACAGAAAAGCTTAAAATTACAACTGGGACATCAGCTCTTAAGGTTTAAAACAACAGGGTCTTGTTGTTATGTTATATGCCTATGAAGTTACAATGCCTTCTCTGAAAATAAATGCACGCTCGCCCGAGAGTCTCCAAAATCTTTTATTTTTAGAGTCTAACCTCTTTCCAGGAAGTAGCAAAATGAAGGAGCATTCTTGGTAGCCATTTGACAAAAACTGTCCATTATTCTTGACATTCCAAAGTGAATGCAATGATATTTAAAAAAAATACAACCTTATTGTTTACATAGTATTTTTAGAAGCCTGTGGTTTCCAGTGATTAGAATTTAGTCATGCTGGGAAAGGAACAGAAAGCCAGCGGCTAAGAAGCACACGCCCTCATAAGAGACACCTAAATGGTATACTTAGGATGACTAATAAACTTAATCCAGTTTTCCTCAGAGGAAACAAGTTTAATTTCTAAAGAGCATTCACTTCTGACATCTCAATTCCCGACTTGAGTGGCTGCAGACTGTGTACCTCTGTGCCACACCTGGGACACGTAAAGTACATGTCAAATAAGAAACTACTCTTAACACAGTAATAACAGAAGATGTGCTCGCATCCTATGGTGTGAGGCATGGTGGGCCACTCTCCGCACAGAGCACACTGTTTGCCGCTGGTGGCTAACGTACTGTCACTATTAGGAGCGCCCGTGAGAGGGATACACCATGCAGATAACTTGGCTTTCAACTTCTGGATGTTGATAAGTGGTAAGAGAAAAATCAGAAACTCAGCAAAACCATGCCAGAGAAGCTCCCTGTTCATATACTCAAAGCCAACCTCACGTATGTTTTGGGGTTTGCAAAATACAGAACGAATGCCTAGCAGACGTTCTGTCAAAGTTGCGAACTTGCCCCTTTGAAGGAAGATCAAGAAATTAATCAACCCACCTAATTTCAAAAGTCCAACCACAAAATTCACACACTGCTTGGCTTTCCTGAACGATGCTAAATGAGGGTGTCGAAACAAGTCGTAGCATCGTTCTTCTAGCCAGTTCCCACCGATTGTACAGACAGCATACCAGAGTTTTTGATTCTGACTTGGCGGCTGGTATCTCGGGTTCGGGGAAAAATCGTTTTTGTACTGAATATTCAAAACTGACTGTCCCACGGTGGCGTTTTTAGAGTAGATGGTGAATCTCCACAAGAAAAGCCACAGGAGTGCTTTCACCTCTGGTTCGAAGCGGGCCAACAGGCCGGGCTTAAATCCATGGAAACACTGAGAGAACTGGGACCAAACCAGATGCTCCAGGGCCTTGTTGAGTTCAAGCGCATCCAGCTGACTTATCCTTAGCACCCTGTTTGTCCTCTTCGTACTCTCTTCTCTGGAAGCCATGCCTTCCCTGAAGGTTTCTAGGAAAAAGTACAATTAAGGGCATCATCAAATAGTTTTACTATCTCCCCGACTTACACTCAGAAGACTGTGACACAGAAACGACACAGGACACGGAGCAGATGGGCCTTTCAATAGTGTCAAAACAGCTCAGTGAACAATCACCTCTTACTTGAAATTCTTTCTCTTTCTCCTCTGTCTCTCTTCCCTCACACCTTTCTTTTCTGTTCTATCCCTTTTTTGGGCCTCCTCATTAAAAGAATAACATGTTTTAGAAAGTTGCACCCTATTTCCACAAATATACCTGTAGGTAATCCTCCTTGGTCAAATATTTTAGCAGGAGATGATAAAATCCTGAAGTTAACAGTGATGAGGCTGAATAATACCATGACTAATGGAGAAATATATGAACTTACTAAATACGATGAACTACGGGGAACACTGCAATGGATGGCAAGTCAGGGCCTTGGTTTAATTTCTAGTCACTTCTATTGACTCCAAAGGTATTATTTTCAACAAGTCATTTACTCTTTCTCAAATACGTTTTATATTTGTAAAGGAAGTTAGGAGAACAAAATATTAGCACAAAGCAACATGAATGCAGAAATGTCGTTATTAAGGTATTACAAAGGTACACATCATACAGTTTTCTAAGAAAAGAAAACTCTGATGTAAAAATATATACTAAGATAATTTCATAAATGCACTAAGGAAACAAATACGTGCTAAAGGGACAAAAATCTCTTAAGATGAAACAGAAAAAGCTGATTAATGGTTAGCTAGGCATGGCTGACTCATTCAAAATGCATTTATTAAATGTCTATTACGTGCGAGCCAATGCAATGAAAACACCCAGTGATTGCTGTTGTCAAAGAGTGTACCGACCAGTTTAGATATTGCACATTTTATTAATTATTAGGGTGGCAAATCCACACTACGATAAGAAATCTGTTTAAATTTAGTTTCTAAAATCGGCCCTCAACACAGAGTGCTTGACCACGATCTCTGGGCCTTAGAAAGGGCCGATGTACAAATAGAAAGGACACCGAGGTACAGAGGGTGGAGGCAGGGATCCCGCTGAAGTTCATGCCCCAGCCGTGTGGCAGCTGTGACGTGGACAAGTCATTTCACCTAATCCCTGCCTTGGTTTCTTCACTTCCAAAACTAAGGGCTGGAGACAAAATGACCCCTGAAGTCTTCTCAGATTCTATTATTTTACGATTTTACTAAAAACATGTTAAATGTCATTTGTTACGAGTTAAAAGGACTGAAAAGTGTATCCTAAAATAAGGTTGTACTTCTTGAAATTGGGATGACCTCGATGACATGTGGTAGAAGACTGCATGCTCAACAAGTTCAAGCGTAAGAAGCAAAAATGACGATTAAATAACAGGTGGTTTAGTGTTATTTTCCTCTCAAAGCAGACACACGACAGAAATGCTTCTCACCCACACATGCCAACTGCCTTCTGAGGGGTCTCACCTCCCTCCCTTTCCGGCAGCTCCCTCAAGACTCGCCAGCCTATGGCGACGGCGGTGGGGATTTCCGTTGCAAGCTCTTCTGTGAAACCCTTGCCTCACACCAGCCAGGAGCTACAGGAAAGAAAGAAGGGGGTCAGGACAGAGTTCCCTTTCCTCTCTCCCCAAATCTAATCAACCCCAAGGTCTGTTCTTTGTCCAAAATATTTTTCTAATCCATTCATTACTCTATCATGCCCCTTTTCAAGCCTTTCCCTAAATCCAGACTGCTCTCATCTCTCCTCTGGATTACATCTAATTGGTCTATCTCACCCCTTGCTGCCTTCAGCGCATTTCCCGCACTGCAACCCTTCTAAAACACAAGCCCCCCCAGCTTGCTTTCCTTCCTAATGCTTCGACCTGGAGTCAGAACGCGCCCCCGTCTCTAGTTCACTCGTGGACATTTGCTGTGTGTTCTCTTCACCTGGGACAGTCTGTTCCCATTCTTTACCTGAAAAACTCACGCTAAATTTTCAAGTATTGGCTTAGGTATCACTTGCTCCTGACTCTCCAGATTCGGGCTAGCTGCCTCTTCCAGGTGTTCCCTTAGCACTCTATGCTTCCTCTTTCCTGGCCTTTATGTACTGTACATAAACTATTTGGATATTTTACATACTGTTCATAACCTTTTTTTTTTTTTTTTCCTGCTGAGGAAGATTCACCCTGAGCTAATATCTGTGCCAGTCTTCCTCTATTTTGTACGTGGGTCACTACCACACTATGATCGCCTACGAGTGGTGTAGGTCCATGCCTGGGAATCTAACCTGGGCCCCTGAAGTGGAGCACACCAAACCACTAGCCCATGGGGCTGGCCTCCATAAACTACTTTTTAACTGTCTATTTCCTCCACTGGAGGATAAGCGCTGTTCCAAAGATTATTTAAGTCCTGTGACAGCTGAATCTTATCAACTAGCACAGTGCCAGGAACACAGAATGCATCCTACAAATACTAGATGAAGGATAAACAAAGAGGACGAAAACCTGGGGTGGGTGAAGGGTAGAAATTACAAATTCCCACCCCATAACCTTCAAAATTATATCAAATTAACACATCCAGACTGTTGATTACGACTTATTTCAACACGTTTGTTGTGCATCTGCTATTTACAAGTCAATGCCTCAGAGTTAATGACAGAAGGGTAGAAGAGACACAGTCTCATCCCTTCTGAAGACTATAATTGAGTAGGGTGGGAGGAGGGGGAAAGTAAGGGTGCTATATAAAATAATAAACAGGTAATTATAATAAAGTGTGATAAACAACATGCTAGGGGAAATTCAGAGCATTACGCTTACAATTAGACTTCAGAAGGTCAAAGAAGGCTTCAGGAAGAGGTGATAGCTAAGCAGCTCCCTGAAGGATTGGTAGTCTCAGCCCAGTAAAGGAAGGTACGAGTACTATTCAAAGCAGATGGAACAGCAGGTGTCCAGGACTGGGAGTGCAAGGACAAAAGGTAAGGCTGGGAAGGAAAGCCAGAGGCAGATCCTAAAGGCCCTAAAAGCCAAGTTGAGGAGGCTATATTTTATCAAGAGGGTAATAAGGAGCCACTGAATAGTTGTAAGCAAAGAAGTAATCAAATGTGCATTTTAGACAGCTTGTTCTGGCCACATTGAGAATGGGTTAGGGCTGAAAGACTCGAGGCATAGAGACCAGTTAAGAGATTGTCAAATGACTGTTAAAATGATCTAGTGAGAAAGCAATGGACGGTCTAAATTAGAAAGGTATCATTGGAGATGGAGAGACACAGGTACCTTTGAAAGCTATGAGGTGGCAGAATTGACACGATTTAGTAAGAAACAAGCCAAGAATAACTGACTTGAGTAATTGAGTGGATGGTAGTCTAGTTCTTTGGAACAGGAAACATATACAGAGATACAGGTTTGAAGGGAAAGATTAAAAATACGTGTATTTTTAGAGATCTGAGTCTCCTACAAGACAGCTAAGTGGAAAAGTTCAGTTGGTGCTCTTGTGGATATGGGACAGAAAATCTGGGCAGAGACTTTGAGTGTGAGGCCCCTCTCACAGGACTCATCTATTTTAGATCTACTTGATCTACTTAAATGCTAAGATCAGGAAGGCAGTGATCTAAACAAGATAGGTAGATCTCGTCCAACACATTCAACTTTCTTTGTAACAATATAATCTTATTCTCACAGTTTTCGTATTCCAGCTACGACGCCATTTCATTGGTACGTTCACTGATATCACACCTATCTTTGGGCTTTCCATCTTCCTACGCTGTGCTCTTCAACATCACAGTCCCGCAGTCTCACTGGGCTTCTAGTCCAGTGGTTTTCAAACTTGAGCGTTCACCAAGATCACTTGGAGGACTTCTTAGACTGCAGTGTCTCAGTTCCAGAGTTTCTGATCCAGTAGGCTTGGAATGGGAGCCAACAACTTGCATTTCTAACAAGTTCCCTGGTGATGTTGAGAACTACTGGGCTAGTCCATTTCAAAGCAAAATTCATAATTTCTTTGGCATATCTACCACCCAAACAGCTCAATGCTGCATGCCAGCTCTCCTACTCATTTCTAGCTAGTTCTCATCTCTTTAGCTACAGAGGCTGTGACAAATCTTGCACTGACTCAGGCTTTCCCTCTTCTATTAAGTGGTTCTTATGAGTTTAGAGACTATTCATGGAGTCCACAAACTCTATGAGCATCACTACTTCCTAGCCCTGTGAGATGCCTGGGATGCAGAGATAAAGACTAGTCCTGGCTCTCACTTAAGGACCCCAACCAAGGTCGGCAAGGAAGCCAGGCAATAAACGGACAACTAGGGCAATAACAGGCAGACGGTATCACAGGTTCTCAAAGACAATACATAAAATTTCAAAACTACTTCAATAGAAAAAGAATTCCAAAATTCACACAAAAAATCATCAATGAATAAGATTATTTTTCTCATTTTTTCTGCAGTTTACAAATTTTCTCTAATTAACTTATATCATTTATGTAACTAAGAAAAAAACCCTAAAACATTATTTTAAAAACTTCATAGGCAAGCGAAAATCTACAAAATTATGCCCACACCTACCAAATCACCTCTTTCTTTCCTCATTATTACCCCTGGGGTAAAGTACAAACTTCTCAGACCCAACCTAGCCCAATTCTGTCTCCATCTCTGCAACTGTAGAACCCATTATTCCCCAGTGGGCCTTCAACCCCAGACCATCCTTCAGTCCTGCCTCTGTGCCTTTTCTCATGTACCTAGAACACCGACCTTCCCTACCAACTACTCCCACTGCCGTCAACCATCTGCCCTTCCCATTTCACTCTATTTCACATTCTCTATGAAACCTTCATAACTATCTCCAACTCCTTTACCACCATTTTGAACTCTGACAGCAAATGTCTGTGCCACCCTCTTGGGCCTTCCACCATTTGTACTGTGATTTCAGGTATGGGAATACATCTTCTTTTCCTCACTTGACTGTAAACTAGGTACAGAAAAGCAGCTTATCTTATACCTATTTCTCAAAGCACCTGCCACCTACAAAGTGAC